TGGCCCTGAAGGTTTTGAAGCGGAATTGTGTTATGTGGGATTCCTCCATTTTGAACAGGTATTGCTTTTCTTCATGTAAAGGTTGCTGATATAAACATGGTTATGGACCTATGGTGTCAATAGTCTTATGAATTGTATTGTTAAGTTGTTTTGCTCATTGTATGTTGTAGAAATGAATTGTATTGTTGCTTTGGCAATTCTGGGGGGCGTGATTGAGACGTATTCACAATTTTCAATTGAAGGTTGGAAGCAAAATGAATATGACTGGGTGATTTGGATTTTTGGGTAAGTCTAAATGGGGGGTTTTGGGCTGTATTGATTTGTAGATGATGGGGGAATTAAGTTAGTTAGCGTTTGCTGTATTGATTTGCCAAGCGAAGAGTTTGCTCTTTGAATCTAATTTTATTTTTATTTTTTTTCGTAGTGGGTTGGCTACTTCCCATACACAAACCAAATGGATCCAAAAGGGTTGTTTTCATATTTTGTTTATGGAAGGATTTGAATAGTTGGAGCTATTTGATTTTTCATATATATATATATATATTTTTGCAGCTACTGGTCGTAGCATTTCAATGCACCATGTTAACCCATTAAAGGTATCCTAATTCGTTCATAATATGCTTGGCTTCTATTGGGAATTGAGTTGTTTAGTTTTTGAAAATTTTTTAAATTTAATATTGTCATTTCTAAGTTACTGAAAATGATAAATGATAAAAACATATATACTCATTTCTTATTGCAAAACATTTTTTTTGTCATATGGTTGCATGGTCTAATTATTAGTTCCCTATTATTTGTCATACGTCATTTTAACTACCATTTAAGCAGGTTTGTTTATGTAGTGTTGATTGAATTTTTTTTCCTTGAGTTGGGCATAAATGTTTGTGTTTCTTTATGGTTTTGATGTCAATTATATGAATATGAAATGGGTTGAAAAAAATTGTATGATTTATGAAATAGGTTACTATGGGATGAGATAAATCTTTTTCAATGAAATGTGTTTCTATGAATGGGTGACTTCTATTTGTTTTTCCGCTCCAAGATGAGATAAGTCTTTTTCTATGAATGGATTTTTCATGTTCAAAAATTCACTCAGTATGGAAGGTTGAAACAGTCATTGTGCTTAATTGCTAGTTACTACCGTCAACCTGGTTTGTTTCTTTATATGTTCATAGAAATGATTTTTTATGCTTTTTGGCACATTTATGTGGTTACTAATTGATAGTTGAAAAGTGCATGCTTTTGAAAAGAGCCTATTAATCTAAGATTGGATTGGCACCATTTCATCAACAAAAATAATTTTGCTTAGATATGTAAGGTTGTGTTTGAATCATAATTACTTTATATCTCCCTCATATTTTCTTTTTCCTTTTCAAATTCCTATCTAAATTTAAATTGATATTCTCGGACATTTCAAGTTCTTAGCTGTGGATTGTTAACTACCAGAGAGAATCAGTGCTTGAACCCGTTTTGTTTATTTCATGTGCTCTAGGATGAACCCTAATCATGTGCTTGAACCCTAATCTACATAAAATTTACATAAGACATCTGATTAAATTATATGTTTATGAAATGGGTTGAAAAAAATTGTGTGATTTATGAAATAGGTTACTATGGAATGAGATAAATCTTTTTCAATGAAATGTGTTTCTATGAATGGGTGACTTCTATTTGTTTTTCTGCTCTGAGATGAGATAAGTCTTTTTCTATGAATGAATTTTTCATGTTCAAAAATTCACTCAGTATGGAAGGTTGAAACAGTCATTGTGCTTAATTGCTATTTACTACCTTCAACTTGGTTTGTTTCTTTATATGTTCATAGAAATGATTTTTCATGCTTTTTGGCACATTTATGTGGTTACTAATTGATAGTTGAAAAGAGCATGCATTTGAAAAGAACCTACTAATCTAAGATTGGATTGGTACCATTTCATCAACAAAAATAATTTTGCTTAGGTATGTAAGGTTGCGTTTGAATCATAATTACTTTATATTTCCCTCATCTTTTCTTTTTCCTTTTCAAATTCCTATCTAAATTTAAATTGATATTCTCGGACATTTCAGGTTCTTAGCTGTTGATTGTTGACTACCTGAGAGAATCAATGCTTGAACCCATTTTGTTTATTTCATATGCTCTAGGATGAACCCTAATCATGTGCTTGAATCCTAATCTACATAAAATTTAATAAGACATCTGATTAAATTATATGTTTATGTGTTGTAGGATTTACATTTTGTTGTTTGTTTAAAATTTTATACTTTTGTTGTGCTGAATTTTATGTAGCATTTATGTGTTTACTTTTCACTATTTCATTTACCTATAATTTTACATTCAATTACATTTTCATTCAAACAATATTTTAACGGTGCCTTCAGGCACGGGTATACACTAGTATACTTATATTTCACGCACATGTTTCATTTTCCTACCAAAATTTATAATCCAAACACAACCTTAGTGGTGTCCCAAAGAGGGAATGAAAAATGAAATCTAAGCCATTAATTCACTTCTAGGTATTTCGAACTCGTGGCCTAGATTAACTGAGCTATGTATGTAAAGGGTCATGTTATTGTATATGCAAGTTATAATATTTATGAAATTTATTACTATAAATGGCATAACTAAATCTTTTAGTCATAATTAGGAGGGGGAAAAAAAAGTCACAATGCTTCATTTGGTAACTATATATTTTAGCCAAAAAGTCACTATAAGTTGTCATATCACTCTTTACTTTTCTGCACAATCTCGTTTGGGAACAGACTATTATAGTAATTTTTAATTTTTTACGAAAAGATGTGCAGAAAAGTAAAGAGAGTGATGTGACAACTTATAGTGACTTTTTTGACTTTTTAGCTAAAATATGTAGTTATCAAACAAATGGCAGCTACGAGTAACAGGGATAGTGGAGGGCAGAGGATCGGAGCAGGTGGATGGCAGCCAGTTTTGTATGGAAGAAGAAGGCAAGACCAGCGGACTGGAGTCCAGAACGATAGAATAGGAGTCATTACGGTTTTTTTGGATAATCTTCCATGGTCAATGAATCCTAAAGGTCTGTTCCTCCTATTTTCAAAGTTCGAGGTAGTGAAGGATGTATTCATCCCAAATAAAACTAGGAAGTCCACCAGATCAAGGTTTGGGTTTGTTAGATATGATTGTTCAGTGGCAGCTGAAGTAGCTATCCGAAAAGCTAATGGCATATGGTGTGACGACAAGGAACTTCATGTTAAGAAAGCAGCCTTTGAAAAGCTAAGAAGTAATACGAATATAGTGGGGGAGACAAAAAAGGTGGTTACTCATACAGATAAGCCAAGTGGTTATAAGGGAAGAAATAATGGCGGGGTAGACAAGAAGATGATGGGTCATCAATCATATGCAGAAGTCCTAGTTCAAGAAAGCAAACAAGGGGATAAAGGTCATGTCATCTTGGGGGTGGAATCAGGAAATGGATGGCTGTATAACAGTGTTATAGTCAAATTGAAAAGCTATTATGCTTTCTCTGACTTCCGTGATAGCGTCCTCCAAATTGGTTCCAAGGATGTGGTGGTCAGAAAAGGAGGGGGAAAGATGGCCGTTGTGTCGTTCTTGTCGGCGGAGGACGTGAAGTCTCAGCTGGCCCTTTTGGAAGATTGTTTAAAAGAATGGTGTGCGTCAGTCACAGAGTGGAGGAAGGGGACATATTTAGCTCCGGAAAGGGCTGTGTGGCTATGTTGTTATGGGGTGCCCCTGAATTTATGGAGCAATGATACGTTCATGAAGATAGGCCGGTTATGGGGAGAAATAATCTGAATAGATGAGGATACATTAAATCAGGTGTCATTTAGCTATGGGAGGATAAAAGTAGCAACAAGTGTAATGTCTTCCATTAACACAGTAGTACATATCCAATGTAATGATATGATGTATCCAATTAGAATGTGCGAAGAGCATGTGATGGTAACTAAAGTAATAGGTGATTCATAAAAGGTGAAGTCATCTCAGAAGAGGGAAGATCTTTGCAGCGCAGTTGGGATGGCAAGCCATGCTGCTGGGAATGAAATGAACTCGAACAAGGAGGATGCTGAGGTGGAGGATTCAGTACAAAATGAGCTGGATACTTACGCTGATATGGCAAGATCAAACAGGGATGAGATGACAGTCAATGTACCTGTGGTGGAGGAGCTGATTCCTAATGATTGCCCCACCTCGGTAGTGGAAGAGACGGTTGGCGATGCTTCGGGAAAACGAGAGACTATCAAAGCAGGCGTGGGAACAACTTCTGGAGTATTGTTTACGGCTCAAGGTCATAATGAAGGAAGTGAGAATAAGGACAGGACTGGACTTGTTAATGGGTTTATGAAAAGCTTGAGTGGAAACGGACTGGACAAAGATGGAATAGCACTAGAAGTTAATTTGGGTGAAGTCCAGTATAGTGGGCTACCACATGGGCCCATTATCAATGGAAATAATTCAAGAGGGGTGGGCTTGGATCATACGAGGCTTCAGGTCCATGGGAATGGGTCAATATCATCACCTATGCATTACACTATTGTACAAAGAAACACAAGCACAAAAATGGGTGAGGTGAAGCAGAGGAAAAAGTTGGTGAGAAGGAGGGGGACTTTAATTGCTAGCAGAAATTCGACGGAACTACAAAGGAAATGTAGCGGAGGAAGACGGGAGAGGATGGGTGGAGCAGTGGTTATGGGAAGTTGGAGCAGAGGGGCTGCGCTTAGGGCAAAATTGGGGTTGTCAGCAAGATCGGTGCCCCATGGGTCAACAGCAAAATCAGGATCAAACGGGAGTAGTACGAGGGTTGACACGGTCTTGCATGAAGAGGCTGAGGCAACAATTCACATAGGTAAAGCTCTTGGCATCTGTTTCGAAGATAAGGAAGAGGAGGTAATCATCAAATTAAAAGAGATGGAAGCCAAAGATAAAGAGAGGCCAGCACCTAGGGTTACAGAAGCACAAAGCTGATGTGCTTCAATTTGGAGGTATAAGGTGTTAAGCTTTTATGTTAATGAAGTTATTATCATGGAATGTAAGGGGTTTGGGCAAAGCCAAAAAGAGGAGGAAGGTCAGAAGCATTCTTAAAGACAGAAAAATTGAGTTTGCTTGCTTCCAAGAGACAAAGAGATCTGATGTTTCATCCTTATTCATACAATCATTATGGCCAGATGAAGATATGGAATATATGGTGGTTGATTCTGTAGGAAGCGCAGGGGGATTGTTGTGTATTTGGAAGTCATCTGTGTTCCAGCTCTCTCAGTGCTATAGCATTAGGCACTGTATTATACTCCCTGGGACACTTTTGACAAATTTCAAATGTGTACTGCTCAATATCCATGCTCCAAATGAGGTAAATGAGAGGGGTAAATTTTGGAGTGTATTACATAGATTGAAATCAATGTTTAGTGATCCTTGGTGCTTGGCTGGGGACTTTAATGAAATTAGGAATATTGGGGAAAGAAGAGGATGTTCTAGAAGAGACAAATGGATGAAGGAGTTCAACCAATTTATTGAAAAGTTAAAGCTTATTGATTTACCTATGATGGGTAGGCAATTTGCTTGGTGTAATGCTACTGAAGGGGAAAGATGGAGTAGGATTGATAGGATCTTGTTGTCAACTGAGTGGCTGGAAAGGGTTAATTTTAAACTATGGGGTTTGGAAAGAAGTGTGTCTGACCATTGTCCACTATTACTGTTAGAAGATGGGAGGGATTGGGGTCCAAGGCCGTTTCGCTTCTTAAATGCTTGGTTTCTCCATCCCAATTTTGGAAGCCTTGTGAAGAAATCCTGGGAGGAGTCTGCATTGTCTGGATGGGCAGGTTTTGTTATAATGAATAAACTAAAGATGCTTCAAGCAGATTTGAAGAAATGGAATAGAGAGGTTTTTGGGAATGTGACTTCGGCGTTAAAGGTAGCAGAGGAGGAGCTTCATGCTATTGATTTAGTGGCTGAGTCGAGAAATCTTGAGGAGAATGAGGTTTGAAGAAAAAGAGAAGTCAGAAAAGAAGTATGGTCACTGGCTAAACGAGAAGAATGGATGTGGAAGCAGAAATCTAGACTGAATTGGAACCTTCAAGGGGACAAAAACACAAGATTTTTTCATATTGTTGCCACCAGTAGACAGAATAAAAATTTGTTAAACTCAATTGAAGTAAATGGGGTGATGTACGAAGACCCTTGTAGGATTAAACAGGAGGTGTTTAAACATTTCAAAAGGAGATTTTCAGAGGAGTGGAAATCTAGGCCCAAGCTTAAAGGTCTCTTCGGAACCATTGGGCATGATGAAGTTTCGGATGGGTTAGTTGCACCATTCTCTGAGGAGGAAATATGAAGGGCTATGAAGGAAAGTGATGGCAACAAGGCTCCAGGACCGGATGGGTTTAACATGGCCTGCTTTCAGAAGTGCTGGAAGGTGTTTAAAAAAGAAATCCTACAGTTCTTCAATGAATTCTATGATAATGGGCGTCTAGCCAAAGGTATTAATAGCTCTTTCACAACCTTAATTCCTAAGAAAGATTGTCCGGAGGGTATTTCGGATTATAGGCCAATTAGCCTTATTGGTTCCATCTATAAGATTCTTTCTAAGGTTCTAGCATCAAGGTTGAAAAAGGTGCCACCAAGGATAATTAGGGATTCTCAAACTGCATTCATTGGGGGACGAAACATTTTGGATGGGGTGTTAATATCTAATGAAATTGTGGATTGGTCGAAGAAGAAGAAGCAGAAAGGGATGATTTTGAAATTGGATTTTGAAAAAGCTTTCGACTCAGTAAATTGGGAGTGTTTATTCGAAATGCTGTCCAGCTTTGGTTTTCAAAACAAGTGGATAAGGTGGATAAAGGAATGTTTGCAATCATCTAGAGTTTCAATCTTGGTGAATGGCTCACCTACAGCTGAATTTTGTCCAGAAAACGGACTCAGACAAGGGGATCCACTGTCGCCGTTTCTCTTTATCATTGTGGCTGAAAGTCTTAATATGTTATTCCAAAGGGCGAAAGATTTGGGGCTAATCAAAGGAGTTGTTATAGGCACTAGAAGGATCAATGTAACCCACTTACAATTCGCGGATGATACTATTGTGTTTTGCGAGGCTGAAGAGCAAGAAATTCTGAATGTTAAACGATGTTTTGAAGTGCTGTCTGGATTAAGGATTAACTTCCATAAAAGTAAGGTATGTGGGGTGGGGGTACAAAATGAGGTGGTGGCTGATTTCGCCAAGAGACTGAACTGTCAAGGTCAAAAGCTGCCTTTCACATATCTTGGGTTGCCTCTTGGGGCTAGTCCAAAAAAGAAAACTACATGGTTGCCAGTGATCAATAAATTCAAGTCCAAGTTAGCTTCTTGGAAGAGAAAGACACTCTCTTTTGGGGGTCGGTTAACTATGATCAAGTCAGTGTTAACTTCATTACCAATGTATTACTTATCTTTATTTAAAGTCCTTATGGGTGTAGTTAAGTTGCTAGATAGAATCCAAGCCAGGTTCTTATGGGGAGGTTTGGAAACAAAAAAGAAGCTCCATATGGTGCGTTAGGAAGAGATCACTAAAAAGAAATGGTGTGGTGGTTTGGGTATTAGAAGGCTGAGAGATGTTAATGAGTGTCTCTTAGCAAAATGGTGGTGGAGATATGGTGGTGAGGATCAAGCATTGTGGAAAGATGTTGTGGCTAGCAAGTACAGCAGCTTTGGTGGGAGATGGAGACCTTTTTTGGTGGAAGGCATTCAGTGTTCAAGAATATGGGGTGATATTCTTAATTTAGAGCATATCAGTCCCAACTTATTTAACTTCTTCATGGAGAATTCTGTCATCAAAGTTGGAAATGGGAGGAGAATTAGTTTTTGGGAGGATCATTGGGCATCTAATTGTAGTTTGAGGGTTGAGTTTCCCAGATTATTTGAGCTGTCAGATGACAAAGAGGCTAATCTTAATCAGATGATTGACAGGAGAAACAGTACAACTGGGTAGAGCTTTAGGTTCAGAAGAGGTCTGAGGGCTTGGGAGGAAGATGAGTTGGAAAGACTTAGAGCGTACTTGACTGCTCATGAGCCAATTTTAACAGATAGTGTTGATTCCTTAGTTTGGAAAGCCTCGTCTTCAGGAATGTTCACTGTAAAATCAGTATATAACAGGAATTATGCAGCTCAGGGGTCGGAGGATGTTAGGTGGATTTGGCAGAATTTATCTCCTCCAAGAGTGCAGTTTTTCGGATGGCTTGTTTGGAAGGGTAGAATCAAGTCTAGCACATTCCTTCAGCGTATAGGGTGCCTCAGTCAGGATGCAACCACAGAGTGTGTGTTCTGTGACTGTGCTGTTGAAACAGATTGTCATGTGTTGCTCCAGTGCATGTTTGCTTGGAAAATTTGGTCGAATATTATGTCCTGGTGGGGTATGCAATGGGTAATTCCTGAGAATGCTAGAGGTGTGTTGGAGTGGTGGAGAGGGTTCAAATGGAGTATATTTGAAACTAAAATTTGGAATGTAATTCCATTCGCTGTGTTTTGGTCAATATGGACTCTGAGGAATGATTGTATTTTCAATGGCAAACAGCACTGCTTTATGGATATCTGTGAACTAATTAAAACTAGAATTGCCCTATGGATAAGATCTAATACAAGTTTGTCGCAGTACTCTGTTCATGATGTGGTTGAGAATCTGCCCCAGGTGCGTAGGTGTTTGGGGGGTAAGGGTGTGTAATCTTAGAATCTAATGCAGGTGCTCTGGGTGTATATTGATATGGTAGTGAGATCAGTTGGTGTTTTAAGTAAATTTCTGGGGTGAAGTAGTAGAGGTATTGAGCTGTGGATGTCTTTTTGTTCTGCTGCTGGTTTTTCTGCTTTCTATCTCTGCACAGATTTGATCTGAACTGCTGTGGTGCCTATCTTGCTGCTATGGGCTTCTGATAAAGATGCAATTCTCTGTGGTGAACTAAGAACTGCTGTCTTTTGGGCTATTGATATGGCAGTGAGATCAATTGGTGCTTTAAGTAAACTTCTGGGGTGAAGTAGTAAAGCTTGGTGTTATGGGGCTGCTGCTGTATCTCTGCACAGAGTTGATTGAATTCTGCTGAAGCTTTGATCTGTTTTGGCAAAGATGGGCTTCTGATAAAGATGCAACTCTACTATATAAGGACTGCTATCTTTTGGACTCAGTTGTTGAGGCCTGCATCTGATTGGAGTTCCTGCTGTTCTGAGGTTTGAGTGGCAGATACAACAGTGTTGGGTCAATTGAAGTAATGCTGCATTGGTGGGCTGGGGATGGGTGGAAAACAACTCTACCTTGTTGATGTATGTCTCTTGCCTCACTGTGTTGTTTTTGGTTGGTTGTTCTGTCTTTGCGGTTGGATTCTCTCCAACGTTGTTGGTGTGCTAGCAGATGATAGGGCGGTCTTATCGGTGCCAACCTAGTTGGGACTGGTTTGTTTCGCTTTGATGCTCTTTGCACTCATTGCTCTCGTCATTGATGTATTTTTCTTTTGGTTCATTAATAAATTTTATCTTTTGCTGATCAAAAAAAAAATGTAGTTATCAAACAAGGCATTGTGACTTTTTTTTCTTTTTTTTTTTTTTGGGTTCTAGTCATGGCTGAAAAGGATTCAGTTATGCCATTTATAGTAATAAATTTTACAAATATCATAACTTGCATAGACGATAACGTGACCCTTTACATACATAGCTCAATTAATCTAGGCCACAAGTTCAAAATATCACATATGCTATATTTAAAGATTTTAAATTTTAATAAGTTATAGCTGCAATATGTATAACTAAATCATAATCAAGTCATATTGTAAAAATGAGTATTTTCTCACTTGTTATGCAATTTCATTTAAAGTATTGTGTTTTATTAATTCCAAAAGGTCACATTCATCCTATTTTACTATAAGTTTGGAATAAATTTAATACAAACCTATATTAATTCCAAAGAGAATATTTGTGGTATCCATGGGAATGCTAAAATGCACCATTAAGAAATAGAAAAGCATTAATCCAAACTTAAAAGAGTATATCTTTATATTTTGGAGACTAAATTTAATTAAGAGTAAAATATACCAATAAAAAATCTAAAATAATTTTTTATACATAATGCTAATGTGGTTTAATGTGAACCTTTCACTTTAAAATAAAATAATGCTATTATAAAAATGATATTACTATATTATTCTTATAATTTATTTTTGTATGAATTTTATGTATAAGAAATAAAGTTTTTCATTCATTAATTGTACGCTATGGTGTGTATGGAACCTTTTGGATGGAGGCTCCATAAGCATGTTTGGCATGATGCAGGTGGATGTGGCTAAAATTTTATTTTGACTAACATTTTTAGATTTGTTAATGCTTTTCTCTCATACTTAAGTATAGTTTGATTCTTTATTCTAGTTTTCTTTCTATTATTTCTTCTTTGTTATAAGTAGATTACAACGACTAATTTATGTTGGTAAAAGTCGTTCTACTTTTAAAATGCTTTAATAAACAGCGACGTTTTTTAAAAAAAAAATTGTTTTGGATAATGATAATATCAAAAAAATTGTCCAGTAATAATTCTCTCATTTTAGAGCGTCTCAAACAAGTTCTTTAAAAGAGGCACGTTGATTATTATAATTATTCTTTGCTCATTTTACTCTTTTTAGCATATTAGTTACTACCGTAGCTATTTTAATATTGTTCCTTTATGTTAGATACATTTGAAAAAATTTGAGACATTCTTTGAATAATTTATGTGGATAGATAGATAAAATAACCAATAATATTGAAATACATAAATGAAAAAATAGTTATGATATACATACAAAAAATTTATACAAAATTATGTGGCCTATTATGGTCCATTCATTTAATAGGGTCATTATTATTAACATAATTTATTAGTGTGTCACACATCATTTGAAAGCAAATTTTGGTCAAATAATATTTTTTATTTTAAAAAAAAATGATTTGTACTTTAACTAGTACAAAAATAGATTTTGTATATAAAAAGTATACCTTTTAGTAATTTAAAAAAGAAAGGGTAAATTACACTCACATCCATAGAGATTTAAATAAATAAATAAATAATAAAATAAAATTAGTCCACACTTTTGATATCATTTGGAAAGATGGTTTATGAGTTTTTTTTGACTATTTTAGTTACAAAAGACAAAATAGGTTATTTTAGTCACGATAAACAAAACGTCATATCCAATCCATAACTATTATACTCTTTCTCTCACAAAAAAGTCAAAAAGTCAAAAAGCCAAAAAGTCCTTCCCAAACCAAGCTTTTTAGCCTAGACTAAAATAACCAAAAAAGTCAAAAAGTCAACCCACTTCCCAAACGAAACTAAATACATTAGTCATCCTTAAGATTTTAATTCATATAACAATTAGATTTTCTTTTCATCAATAATTTCTGAATCGTATGAATTAAAAAAAAATTATATTATTATCTCTTTTTTGATAAAATATATTGATAATACAGTTACGATACAACGGGTTCCAGAGGGAATGGGTCGGATTGGTTCACGCTTCTCCAACCGATATCTGAATGGCCAAGCCCACCTGAGAACCTACACAGGAGTTCAACGGGGAACGGAGAGTCCCCCAGCGAACCCTCCGACGAGCAAGTTAGAGAGAGAGAGAAGTGAAATGTAGAGATGTGAACTGGAGATAGAAAACTTAACCTTCTTCTTGTCTTCAACGTCTGCTTATATCCTTTGGTAATCATTTCGTCGTCCCTTCCGACCTGCCACCTTGGCCGAAAGTCTATGCTGTAGCTTATCTTGTTCAGGGTGAGGGGGTGCTGTTCCGACGGAGGGATGTTGTCGTAATAAATGCTGTGATGGATTGCATTAATGGCGATGTGCAGTGGCAATAACTTTGCAGATCTTTGTCTGCTGATGTGGCTTGTCCTTTGCCTGCCACATGTCTGAATATCCTTGGTTCTTCGTGCCATGTTGGCTTCCAGCTGTTCAGGATCTTATCAGTTGGGTCATGTGTTGGGCTCTAAGTGATGGGCTTGGGTTGTTCATAGTGGACTATGACCTTTGTGGGCCTAACCACGTCAGTAGTCCCCTATTCCCAAGTGCAGCTTTAGCCCAACGAAAGGAATACTAATGGAGTAGATGAGGAGGGCCGACCGCGAAGGGTGGTCGAGTGGAAGGACCGACCATGACGAGGACCGACCGCGAAGGGTGGCCGAGTGGATGGGCCGACCATGAGGAGGACCGATCGCGAAGGGTGGCCGAGTGGATGGGCCGACCATGAGGAGGACCGATCGCGAAGGGTGGCTGAGTGGAAGGACCGACCATGAAAAGGACCGACCGCGAAGGGTGGCCGAGTGGAAGGATCGACCATGAAGAGAACCGACCGCGAAGGTTGAGGTGGGGGGCGAGACTCAAGAGGCGGCGTGTCACGTGATGACTTGAAGTGCAAAAGACAAGGTAAGGGGAGGTGGCAGTGAATCGTGATCGTACACGTGGCAACATCTCGTGGGGAGGGAGATTAGGCGTTGGGCCAGAAATGAAACGATAGGTCATGATAGGTGTTGAAAAGACAGTTTTGGCGGATGTTTTGAAACGTTTTCAAATTGGTGAAAATTAATTGTGACCCTTGGAATACGGGCAAGCCTTGGGCTTTTGGTATTATTCGATTTACCTATTTCTTTGCAAAAAATCAAAACATTCCAAGTGTTAACTCCTTTGTTGCTGACGATACACCTCTGCAACATTTCTTGAATTTTTTTACACCCGCTTCCAAAGCTATTCGTAGGCGCAATACAGAGATGGCTCAAGAAAAAGTTGGAACCGCCAGGGTTGATCCGTTTGGGGATGACGACGCAGTAGAGCTGGCGGAGCAGTACCGAACGAAGAGACAAGTGGAGAGGGTAGGGGAGCCGGTGGCACGATCCCATTTTTTCATGATGATAGCGGCTCCGAAGCCAATCAGCCAGGCAGAACCAGATCACTGGCATACGAAGGCTGACAAATCAACGGTTACTGCAGCAGACTTGGAGGTTATGCGCGAAAAATACCAGGTTCCCGCTGAAATAGAGTTACTGTTGCCGTCGTCAACGGAGAGGCCATCCGACGCCCGGCCGGAGGAGTTTGCCCTATACGAGGAAGCATTGAAAGGAGGACTGAGGCTACCGCTTTCGCAGGTGGTGGTTTATGTCCTAAACCGATTGGAGGTAGCGTCGGGGCAACTAATGCCCAACGCGTGAAAGATTGTGTTAGCCTGTGCAAGCGTGTGGCCGAAGGCGACTGAAGGGGCGGCTATGACGGTGGACGAATTTTTCGCGTGTTATAAGGCCTCAAGACAGCAAGAGACTTGGGTGACGTTACAGGCGGCGGCAGGGAGGGGTCTGGTGACGGGGCTGCCGTCATCCATTAAGGGTTGGAGGCCGCGGTGGTTTTACGTGTCCGTGAATAGAGAAGTTGGGGTGCGTACGGTGTGGAGAGTGCCCACCAAATATGTGGAGCCAAAACTGGGGACGGCAGCAGAGGAGAGGATAAAAAAGGTGAAGGCATGGAGGGAGAAGGAGAGAGTCAGGTGGGACGAGCTCGTTCAACCTTCAGCCTTGTTTGCAGCGGGAATGGTCCCTCAGCCGAGCGTTGGAGATCTGGGACAGGCTGAACTAGAGGCGAGGAAGAAAGCGCAAGAGGCTGAGGATATAGCCATCCTTGCCAAAGCCAGTAAGTTCAAGGAGGCGCAGGAAGACCGACCGCATAAGCTGATCGCGCGGAAGAGGATCCGATCGCGTCCAAAATCACTGGAGGAAAAAGACTTGGGTGAATCTGAGCCACGACCGCCCCCGATTGATCCTTTGAAACAGAGGGCCAAGGAGATGGGCAGTGTGGGGAAGAAGAAAAGAAAGGTGAGGA